TATAATGTGTGTATGTGACTGTTTGTATTACGCTGGAAGTTAACAAATGTTCACATACATTGTAACGCACTCCTTTTCTCTGAATTTGTTTTGTATGAACAGGTCTATCGATGTGTCTCTAGACAGTCTATTCATTATCTATTTATCTATCTATCTATCTATCTATCTATCTATCTATCTTAGTATCTTCATATTTGATCGAGGTTCATGGTCATCGGAAATTCATGATGAATGATAATTTGTTTATTTCTTATTCGGAATTTTATCAACAAGCCTAGTTTCATTTGGTCTTTGTTTCAAGCAAAATCATGAAATTCAAAAACTTTTTAGATGTTTTACGATACAATCAAAATTATGTTGACCTTTCTTTGACTTATGCATCAGAGTTCAAAAGATTTTTCATTAATATTTTTTGGCTTCCTTCATAAGTAAAATGAAGAGTTTGTTTTTCGTTTTTCATACCGAATGTTAAAAAGGTACCTTGTATTTTAAACCCGAACATAATTTCGATTTTACCATTTTTAGAATTAATTAGTTGTTAATTTTTATTAAAAGTCATCTTAAATATACGCGTTAATTACATTTATATTCGTTTCTAAATTTTTTATTAATTAGTAAAATATTTAAAAATAATAATTAAGAAGTGTCAAAAAGAGGTTTACATTTCATTTTACAATAACCATTTTTAGTTGTGCAAAAAATATATTCTTTATATTTTGCACAAGAAATTAGTTAAATTAATTATTATTTTTAATCAGTTTATACTACTAACTAATAAAAAAACATTATTTTATACTAGTTTTTACTTTATACTGCATTAATATTTTTTTATTTAGTATCCTTGATTTATTTTATACTAATATTTTTTTTCTTTTAGAATACTTTTTTATTCTATTCTACTAATAAAAAATCTTTTGTTTTATTTTAGACTAGTTTTTTTTTTTTTTACTCTACTTTTTAATTTCATATTAATAACTAATTTAAAAAAAAACTATACGTTTGCCATTTATAAAAGAGCAGGATTGATGGATATTAAAGAGACTTGGTGTCACTTGATCCATGTTTAAACATAAGTCGCTTTGTTATTTCATGTCCAGTGGCGTGTTTATTCTTGTCTAATCCCTTATAAATTCTATGATGTCATTCGACATCCTGGTTGCCATTACTATTTAAATCGCGTGAGGGGCGTCGGCATTGTTAGTTTATTTCAGACAATTCAACAAAAAAGACGTTTGTTTGGGTCCCACGCCTTTTGACACAAAACCAATTCCATTCAAGTGAAAATCGAAATCAACTGTAAGTATGAATTTTATCGATTTCCAAATCATCAAAATTTCTTAAATGTTTCCATGAAGAGAAAGAGACATTTTCTTCCTCTTTAACCTTGAAACCATTTCACCCAAAGCAAGGCAAGAAAAGACACGAAATGGACGCAAGTGTTTTTCTGAGTAAAAAAAAAAAAATCATATTTTGCTCTCTAAATTATTATTTACTGGTTTCGCTGTAAATTGCGTGGCGGATTCAAAATCACATTTATTGATCATCTCTTTATTAAATAGATATTTTATCTATCTATCTATCTATCTATCTATCTATCTATCTATCTATCTATCTATCTTATATTCATATCTATCTATATATCTATCTGTTTATTTAAAAAAAAATCCTGTCTTATATCTCCTCTCTCTCTCTGTGAAAAAAAGTGAACGAAAATCTTTTTGTCCAAAAATTTTCATTAATTGTTATTTATTTTTGCTCTTTTTATTTTGTCTGTCAGTCTGAATTCTCACTCACTTCAACATTTGAATGTTTCTCTCTCTCTCTCTCTATTTATATATCTATCTATCTATCTATATATATATATATATATATATATATATATATATATATATATATATATATATGAATGATATACCCTTCTTAATATTGAAAGAAATTTAATTCTGTTTCATCTCATGTTCTACTTCATGCCATTCAATAATATTCTAGATCGAGGTGTTCTTGAGCCTTACAATGTATAAACTTTAAAAAATATCTTAAAATAACGATCAGTTACTCGATTAATATATATATATATATATATATATATATATATATATATATAATACAAAAGCAAAACATTTACAGAACCGATTTTTACACGCACGCACACACACACAGACACACACACACACACATACACATATTTTACTAAACCCGGTGGCTAGGAAGTCCTCCAAAAGGTGAAGTGCCGAGCGGGCTTGGGCTATTTTTTCAGGCCATTGCCTACTTAAAGCCATGGTAAATTTGAAAAAAAAAAAGAGAAAACATTATATAAATACATACAAGCAACAAACTATTTCTTATTTAACAGTTAAAATATTGCATCCTTGAAAATGGCTAAATGTATAGCCGAAAGCGCTCAGGAGAAAAGAACATGCGGACAGTTTTTATATAATCTATCATCTGAAAAAAATTATTAGATCGCAGGAGAAATTATATAAAAAAACTAAATCAAAGCAGACTTTCTGTCGCATTCAATGAAATGTGCATGTATGTATGTATGTATATATATATATATATATATATATATATATATATATATATATATATGTGTGTGTATGTATATATATGTATATATATGCATATATATATATATATATGTGTATATGTATATCTGTATATATATATATATATATACATATATATAAATATATATATATGCATATCTATGTATATATACATATGTATATATATATATATATATATATTCATATATATATATATATATATATATATATATATATATATATATATATATATATATATATATATGAATTTAGATTTTTTTACCCAGATTTATCGCATTTGATGTCTATTTATTTATTTAAATGTTTTTTTTTCCATTCAAATATAATTTATTTGAAATAAAGGAAAGGACCCCCTCACTCTTTCATATAACCTTTCCTTTTTCTTCTCACATTTTCTAACGTTTACTGCTCTCTCTCTTTCCTTTTTCCTCCGCCACCCTCCCTCTCTTGTTAGCTCATGTAACGCCCTCCAGTCCAGGGGTGTGACTATTTTCGTCCAATGAAATGCCTTACAAATCTATGACGTCACAGCGCCTTCCCGCTGGATTCACTTGGCGAGACGCGACTCGAGAAAGAAGACGTCATATTTTTGTTCTTTTATCTCTTGAGGAAAACCAATCTCACTCAAGTGAAATCGAAACGGAATCAATTGTGAGTCAGAATTTTCCTATCGATTTCCAAATAATAATATTTTCTCTTGCCCTTTATTTTTTTTTTTAACCAAATTCATATTTAGAGAAAAACCTAAATGCATAGAATTAAAAAAAATTGTCTACTCCGGATTCCATGGTAAAAGAAATGCGTTTTTAGTTAAGATTTCAGATGAAGTATTTCCAATAAATGATTGAAAATATCAGTTATCATTTATCGTCTGCTTTTTTCTTTCCTTTCTTTCTAAAACCATTCCGTAGCGATTTTAAATTCTAGATTACGAAATTAAATAAGGAGGGGAAAAAATTTTTAAAATAATTAAAATTAAAAAAATAATTTGTTCTTTTCTATTAATAATAACATAAAAATTTTGACTATAAAACTTTGTTTTTATTAAGTTTTTTTTTTATCACGTTGTTTCCCAGAGAATTATTGGAGGTACCTACATCTACCTCAGTCCTATACATATCTATCTATCTATCTATATATATATATATATATATATATATATATATATATATATATATATATTTTTCATTTTTTGTATCTATCTATCTATCTATCTATCAGTCTTTTTTCTATATCTATCTATCTATCTATCTATCTATCTATCTATCTATATATATATATATATATATATATATATATATTTTTCTTTTATCTATCTATCTATATATATATATATATATATATATATATATAAATCTTTTTCTTATCTATCTATCTATCTATCTCTCTCAGTCCTATTCATATCTATCTATCTATTTATTCATCTGTCTAATTAAAAGATAAGGTAAATATCTCACATTTTCTCTCTTTTATACAATCTTTCCTTCTCTCTCTTTGTTCCTCATTCCTCCCCTTCATTACTTTCCCTCCCTTGTTATCTAATAAAACCTATCTATCTCTCCCAGCCCTTTTCATATCTATCTATCTATCTATATATCTATCTATCTATCTATCTATCTATCTATCTATCTATCTATCTATCTAATTTATTGATTGGAAATAAAAAAGATTTATCTTTTTGCTTGGAATTAAATCTAAAATAAAAGCTTCAAGAAAGGTTTTTCATTTTTCAAAATTCCTTTTAAAACTGAGGTAAAATTTTGAAGTAAACTTCCAGTAAACGTGTCAAAAAATGACGGATCGATTTTGCACTTTGTCGAAGCGGGAAAAAATTAATCATTTTCGTTTTACCACTTTTTTCGCTTCTATTAACCTTGTGTCATACTAGGCTAAGATTAGCGAAAAAGATAAAAACAAAATTAGCAAGTGTTAATAAAAAATGTTTTCATCTTGTACGTGTCTCAGAGAAAATAAAAATTACAAAACAATCGGAAAAAATATTAACATTTTAAAATTGAAGAGAAAATGTTAAATGTAACTGGGAAGGCGGCAAATTGGATCAACCTCCTCTCTCTCTCCCTCTCTGTTTCTTTTACCCTTTTTTCCTTCCCTTTCTCGCATTGCTCTTCTTTCCCTCTCTTTCTTTATTGATAACCACTCTCTCCGTTCCCCACTCTCTCAATATTTCATTCACCCCCAACTCTCCCCCTCCCGCTTCATTTATTTGAGATTTTACAAGAAAACAATTTTTTTTCCGGAAATCGATTTATTTTTCTTGTAAAATCTCAAAATTTCGGGTCATTTTACGTCCGGTTTTATAAATAGACTTTTTTTTTTCGTCTTTTTCTGATTTTGAACTTTGACATTTTTTTCTTTTTTTTTTTTTTTTTCTTTTCAGATTGATTTTTATCTTCCGAAGACATTTTCCAAATGGCGTCCAATGTGAATGACGAAGAAACATTCCAATGCTCGAAATGCGACCAATATTTGAACTGGACATCGAAGACATTGCCCTGTCTTCATTCTTTCTGCGAGTCGTGTGTTCTTGAAGGAAATGGCCTGTGTCCCCAGTGCCAAAAGCCTGTGACCGGTGACGATTTGAGACTGGCACCATTTTTGGTGAAGTCTTTGAGGCGCCGAGAACTGGAATCCAGCGAATGGAGGTGCGACTGGTGCTTTGAAGACGGCATGGAATCGTCCGGCCAGATTTGGTGCCACGAATGCGTGAAACTCTTGTGCCAGAATTGTAACAGAGGTCACAAGAAGTCGCAACGGACGCACCACTGGGAAGACTTGTCAGGCAAAGAGAGGGTGGAGGCCATCCGGCTCATCACGACGGACGACTGTCGACGGCACCGCCAATCCAAGGACGCCTTCTGTCAGCGGTGCAACGTCTGCCTGTGTGATTCCTGTTACAAGGATCACGTGACCGCCTCCCCTCAGTGTCCGCCTCGTCCGCTGTCGGTGAGGGAGGAGGCGTCGAAGGGGAAGGAGGAGGGCGGCCCCACCCTGGAGCGGGAACTCCTCCAATTCGAAATCCAGATCCGGTCGACGTACGCGCAGACGTCTCGATCCATTGAGCAACTAACAACAGATTCCGAATCCGAATGCTTAAAACTCTGTCAGGATTTCGAGACATTCGTGAAAGAGGCACGGCTCAAGTTGGCAGAGCTGTGCGATAATATGAAAGTGATGGCGTCCGAACTAGAGAGAAAATGGCGCCGCTCCCTCAAAGAGAGAGAAGACCTTTTGAAGAAGGTGACGATCTGGCGCCACACCTTGCGACATTTGTTGACGGACGATGCCGACGATGCGGACGTCGTCTGTGGATTGAGGTTGGTAAGAGCTGAGCTTTCTGCGCGGCTCCACCAATCGTTTGCTCCACCCGAGAAAGGACGTTGGCTTGTGACATTTCCGAAATGGTGTCACGACTCCCTAGACTCACTGAGGAAAGAAATGATCGAGTGGGCGGCAGAGACATCCGGGCATTTACAGATGAAAAGTGAATGCCGTCTGCAAGAATCGAACCCGCTGGATCTTTCATCCATCGTCGCCGGCGACGAAGACAGTCGTATCTTTGTTGGTGATTGGAGCAGCGGGTCGATCCAAGAATTCAGTGACCGTGGGGAATTCGTCGGCCAATGTCCCTTAACGGACGGGGGAAAGGAATTCTACCCCCGGGACATGTGTCGCGTTTCAAAAGACATTTTGGCTGTCTGTGGTTGGCAGTCTGAGGGGTCAGGAAGAATTTTCTTTTTGGCGCAAAATATATGTCCACCATTTTTAGAAATTAAAAAAACAATTGACGCAAAAGAAAAGGAATTTTGTTCTTTGTGTCAGTTTGACAAAAAAATCTTTGCTTGTGAACAGAATTTTCAGAAAATTGTTTGTTTTAATGAAAATGGTGATGAAATAAAAACAATCCACCTGGCTGGGGCGCCGAGGGAGAGTAATTGTACACCCCGCCTTCGTGTCGATCCGACGACTGGGAATTTGTGGGGGTTAAGACGAACAGAGTCCAAAATATTTGTATGGAATCCAAACGGAGAAATTCTTCAAAAGATGGAAATGGATGTAGAAACTGTCGATTTGCATTCAAGTAAATTTGGCCATTTTTATTTTTCGACGAGACAAGGAATTTTATCTGTTAAAAAAAAAAAGTTTTGTTTAAATTTCCGAAAAATGCTGAACATTTTCCGAGGATTTTTGTTTCCCGACAAAAATTGTTTGTTTCTTTTAACAACGATGGAAAATATTTCTTGAAAATTTTCAAAATTATTTAAAAAAAAAAATTTTTTTTTTTTGTTTGTTTGCAAATAAAATTTATTTTTTTTAATTCGGTTTTGGAAATTTTTCTTCAATTCAATTTTTTTAATTTTTTTTTTTTTGCCACCTTTGTCTTCGACCATCACTGGTTAACATAGAATGTGCAAGTGAAATTGATTTCATTTTGAAATGGCAATAAAAACAGCAAATAAATCGATAATTATTGACCGACTTTTTTTTAATTTATGCAAATAAACATTTTTTTTTTTACTTGAATTTCAATTTTCCGTCGTATAACAATATGAGTTCAGTCAAATAATTGTAGATTTGTTTGTCTTTGTTCTTTCTTTCTTTTTCTTTCTTTCTCTTTCTTTTTCTCCCCTTTTTCTTTTTCTACCTTTCTCTGTTTCTTTTTTTCTTCCTTTTCTTTTGAGGAGTCCAAGGGAAATAACTCTACTTAGTTGTTTCGGTTATTCTCCTTCAATTGAGCTTTTATAGCTGGCAGCAAAAAATTCTATGGAACTTTAACTTCTTTTACACACACACACACACACACACACACACACACACATATATATATATATATATATATATATATATATATATATATATATATATTATATGATATATTGAATGACCCTTGTCCTTTGTACTTACATGAGAAACGTTTTATTATATTTTTAAGCACTCTCGGTTTAAATCGCAGTAATTTATTTATTTTTTTTTACTCAACATGTTTTAAACGTTGTATGTTATTTATAAGCACTCTTGGTTTAATTCACTGTAATTTATTATTATTTTTTAATCGTCAACATGTTTTAAACGTTTTATTATGATATTTATAAGCACTCTGGGTTTAATTCGCTGTAATTTATTTATTAATTTTAATTGCCGAATTTTTCTTATTATCTCTGTAAATAGTAATTACTAGCTGGTGAAATGAAACTTGATGGTAAGTGGATAAAAAAGGAAAAAATAATTACCTTCTAAGTATCTGATAAAAGGGTGTCCACTCAAAAAAAAATGATAAAAAAGAAAAAATTACCCGTAAACAGCTTAAATAGAGTTCGCACCGTTGTGATTGGCTGTTGGTCAACCTCCAATCAAATGTGTGATAACGGGGTACATTTATAGAAGTCAGTGTCTACAAGCATTTTTTTTAGAGAGCGTATCAGAGTCTGATCAGCTCTGATGTGGTCGACTTGGTGAGGTCAGTATGATGTTTGAAAGGCCCGAAAATGCCCAGAACATCACTGACGACGCCCTCTAGCGCAAAAAGAGCGTATATTCAAAGCAGAAACTATATATTACTGGATTTATATAAAATATATAAAAAATAAAAGTTTACTAAATCAGAGAAATTAATTAGCTATTTTTGCCGTCATTCTCAAAAAATTTTACTTAATTAATATTTAAATATAATTTTTTTAAAAATTGTGACCTAGTAATATACATACTTATACTTAATATGAAAATAATTTTGCATACCGTAAGGGATTCTAATACATTTACTTGTTTTAAAAGAAATAGTATATTAAAAATTAAAATTAAATTTTTTTTTAATCGTAGTTGAATAAAACGTATTCTAACCTAAACACCCCCCAAAAATCTTTAAGTATAGAAATAGAAAAAATGCTGTAAGAATTTTTGCCGTTAACAATAAATTTTTAAAAAATCCAGACGACATGCATTTAATGGATGTCAGAATTCATTGAAAAATACATCCCTACCCCTATCAAAACGTAACTAATAACGGATACATCAAAATACAGCGATAGTGAACTCCCAAACACCCCTTGTCTAGATGAATGGGTTTCTCTGTATCCTTGGAAACGTGAATTATGATTTTTGATGTGCTTTTAAAACTTTTTAAAAAGTTACTCCAAAATTCGTTTGAGGATGAAATGGAACTAATGTTTTTAATTTAATTACAAAATTAAATTTAAAGTTTTTAGCTCCCATTTTTGAAACATGGTTATTACTGTGTAGTGAAAAAAAACATATTTTAAATTAGTTTAGATAGATAGATAGATAGATAGATAGATAGATAGATAGATAGATAAAAATAAAAATATAGAACAATAAGATATATAATCCGGTGATTTTTACAAAATAGTGCTCAATGGGGAATTTACAGAGCATTAATATTATAAATTGTTTTTTATAAATTACGAATTTTGAGTAACACCGGATTACATATCTTACTGTTCTTTCTTTTATATATATATATATATATATATATATATATATATATATATATATATATATATATATATATATATTTATATATATATATATATATATATATATATATATATATATATATATATATATATATATATATATATATATATATATATAGATATATAGATATATATATTTATATATATATATATATATATATATATATATATATATATATATTTTTTTTATACTTGAAGTTGAATATTATTAGGCATAATTAAAATTGATGGTAAAAAGGGAAAAAAAAAATGAAAAGAGAAAAACGAATCGGTCTCACTCCCGTTCTTCAAAGTTTTTAATCAGAAGAAAAATAATAAAATACAATAAATCTAAATTAATGAATTATTGATGAGAGGATAGAGAAGCTGGTTGGGTGGGGAGAATAAGGTTTGTACAAACGTTGGGATTTTTCTTTTCTTCAAAGAATCCGAAGATAAACTTCGTCCAAACTTTGGCTCATAGGCCGTTGATGATTTCTTCTGAAGTTTTTCCTTGATAGTGAAATCGATTTTTGAAACGAGGAATTTATGTAGCGATTGGTAACCGCCTGATATTGTTCATTTGTGACAAGATCGATAATTAAAAAGAAAAATGAAACCCTCTACGGTGGAAGGGTGCCTTGCATATTTGTAATCCTTGGATTTGAGCTGGATGTGAAAACCTCTCCACGCAAATTTCGTCTAGTGTCCTTAATTATTATTATTATTATTCGTCTGAGGTTCGTGTCGTGTTCAATACCAGGCCGATCCTGTCATCTCTATCCGTAATTAGGTATTATATCAGTTAGTATTCGTAAATTATTGGTAGTCTGCTTAGCCATGATTTGCCTTTTCTTTTTCTTGCTGTATTGATAATAGTTTTTAAAAATTAAATTAAAAAATATAAAAGTTTAAAATTGATTTTATATTCTAATTTATAATGTAATGTTGGTTTTGTTAAGTATTTATTGCTTTTTAAAATGTCCTTTATTTACATTCTATGGATAATTTTAACAAAATATGTGATTTCATTTAAAATACCATAAAATATGAAACGGGCCATAGTAACTCAAGTATTTTTTTACTATCTGTTGGTGTTTCATTTCCGTTCAAATTTGAATTCTCTTTTTTCAGCATAATTTCATTGGCTTAATCCGTATCAACATCTTCTCATACGTCATTTTCTTAACTTTCCTCTTCCTTTGTATCTGTGTAATTTCGAATAAACCCCTCTCTTTCTTTTGACTTTCTTTTCTTTCTATTCTCTTGGGAAGAGGGTTAATTTCTTATGCTTTCTTTTGCTTTTCTTTCTTTCCTTTGCCTTTTATTGATTTCTTATTTTCTTTCCTTTTCCTTTATAAAAATCCTTTTTAAATTGTACGGAAATTTTTTTCAAAAACGGAAAATAAAGTGACGTTTCGTAAATTGCAATTTTAAATAAAATTGTTTATTACCATGTTTATTAACTACCTGATAAGATGTTGTTTATTAAACGTCGAAACGAAATGTACAATTTCGTAGTATATATATATATATATATATATATATATATATATATTCAACATGAAAAAGACGATGGACATAAAAGCAATACCAAACCAAACAGATAACTGAAATCTTTTATAAGATCAGCGTTGAATTGTATATGGTCTATGTTAATTATGTTTTATGAATATGTCCTGAAGATGGTCTATTTAGACCGAAACGTCCGACGTTGACATTAAACATTAAAACAGCATATTCGCATATTAGGATTTTTGTCTGTTTTTTCAGTATATTTTTCTTCATATATATATATATATATATATATATATATATATATATCAAGGGTTGTGACGGACTTCACCACATTAATTTAACTTAAGATTAGGAAACAAGACTGACGTGGGAAAGGATAAGCAAAAAACATCGTTACACATAAAATATGTATTTAACAAAATGTACAATCAAATAACGATGTGAAAGAGAGTATGCATTTAAGTAAGAAAAGGTTGAATAAAACAAGAGCTGTCTCTCTTTTTCTGCAATTTTAGAATTTCAAAGTTCACTGGAAGAATATTTATGAGAGTTACTTATAATGACTGAAAAAGAAAAGATTACGTGAGTGTATAAGGAATATTTATCATGTGAGTGGTGTGTGTGAGTGAGAAGGTTGCCGAATGGTTTCAAGTTGAAACTTTCAACTGTCATGGATTCGTTTGGCAGCTGAATTCTCACTAATTTGTCAAGAAAAATTCTTGCTTATGTAAGTGACGATAGGCACCAGATCATTGCGCGGGAAAAGTTACTCTTGACGTGCAGACAATCTGATTGGTTGGCACTGACCAATCAGCGAGCGATTTTTTAGGAGACTTAAGAAAACTTCAGTGGTCCGTTTCTCCCAAAAATGCACAAAATTGACTACATGAAACTAGAACGATTACAAAATTGTCGCATTGCTGCGATTTGTAAATTATCTATAATAACGTAGTGGTGATTTATTAACCAATGAATGCTTGTTATATGTGATTTGTATTTGTGTATGGATGTATGTATGTATGTGCGATATAGATTAGCACAAGGTTTTTGTCGAAAGAGTGTTCCGTCCATGTATTAATCAGGAAGAAAGAGCCTGAATTAACTAGCAGCGAAAATCCATGTATGACAAGATAAGGAGCCAATGTTGGAAATGAAAATGATTCATTCGTTTAATATTCATTCGGGAAATAAAATGATCGACGAGCATTTTGTAATCACCATAACTCGAGCACCACATTCAAAAGTATTTGACGTTCGCTTTAAACTCGGTTAATGAGACTCGAGACATATTTAGAAATGAATGAAATTATTTTAGAGATATTTTCTTCCTTTTTTTAAGCCTTTACTTTTTTCAATGCCCGAAGGAAAACAACCAAATAAAAATCTTAACGCTAAGCTATTAAAGGGAGAGAACTCTGATTCTCTAGGTTATTCCCCTTTAATCGACCTTTTTTTTTTTGTATATAACGACGTTTTTATTTTAGAGTAGAAAATGTCTTCAGAATATGAATCACTGAAAATTGGAGGCTGAAGGCCATAGACGGGAATAATATTCTGTATTTTAGAATTTTTGTTTGAGAGTAGAACATGTCTTTAGAATCGGGATCACTGAAAAATGGGGGTTGCGTCTGTATCTAGCGAGAGAATGCTGAATTTATTTGCAGTATTAATAATAACTGCAAGTGAATAACGTACGTGCAAATTCTAAAAGTTGATGTCGC